ATGATCATGCCCACTGCATTCCAGCCTGAGCGACAGAGCAAGACCCTGTCTCAGAATTAAATAAATAAATACATAAATAAAGATAGCACAAAAATCTGACTCGGCCCCTCAACCAGACAAGAAAGTTGGAAAGCTGAGTGCGTGATGTGACTCAAAATACCCTGCCTGTGGCAATGCCCCGTGACCACTGCATCGGGGACTCTAAAGGTGGCCCCACCCTTCCTGCCCAAGGTACTGGGCTTTGCACCGGGACCGGGATTACCATCGAGGCTGTTATCAGCACCTTCTGAGACCGGTTCATCCACAGGCTCAGCCTCACTCCTTCCAGGGGAGGACGCAAGCTTGACGTGCCCCATTCTTAAAGACGCTGATTTTGAAAAGGCGCCTGTGATGGAAACTGACGGTGTGTGGGAGGTGGTGTCACCGGAAACGTGACTCTGTGGGGAGTCTGCTCTTGAGCGAGCGCTGTGAACAGTTCTCTCTACTGCCAGGGAGGTTGGCAGGTGTGATGTCTGAGACGGCTTTGCGCTGGAGAGTTCCACACTGGGCACAGTAAATGCTCTCGGCTGAGATGGGACCTGATATAAAACACTTGAAATTAACAAACTTATGACAACTAAGGTTTTTGTGGGGGTTTTGTTTGTTTGTTTTGTTTGTTTTTTGACAGGGTCTCACTCTGTTGCCCAGGCTGGAGGGCAGTGGCTCAATCATAGCTCACTGCAGCCTCGACATCCTGGGCTCAAGCGATCCTCTCACCTCAGCCTCCCCAGCAGCTAGGACTACAAGCATGCGCCACCACACCTGGCTAATTTTTTTTTTTTTTTTTTTTTTTTGGTAGGAATAGGTTTTGCCATGTTGCCCAGACTGGCCTTGATCACAGCTGAAGCATCTACCCACCTAAGCTTCCCAAAGCCCTGGGATTACAGGTGTGAGCCACCATATCTGGCTGATACCTAAGTTCTTATGGTTCAACAGACAGTGCAATTAGTGGGGAGCATGAGACCAACACCGCAGGGATCACATTTTTCTCTTACTGCATCCCCTTTCTCTCTTCATTTCTGAAAGTCACGGTACAATATTTAGGTAAGATAATATTGGGAGTAGAAAATATTCCGCCAGGCTGGGCGTGGTGGCTCACGCCTGTAATCCCCGCAGTTTGGGAGGCTGAGGAGGGCAGATCACGATGTCAAGAGATCAAGACCATCGTGGCCAACATGGTGAAGCCTCATCTCTACTAAAAATACAAAAATTAGCTGGGCGTGGTGGCATGCACCTGTAATCCCAGCTACTCGGGAGGCTGAGGCAGAATTGCTTGAACCAGGGAGGCAGAAGTTGCAGTGAGCTGAGATCGGGCCACTGCACTCCAGCCTGGCGATAAAGCGTCGCAGCTACTTGAAAGGCAGAGGTGGGAGGATCACTAGAGCCTGGGAGGCAGAGGTTGCAGTGAGCTGAGATTGCACCACTGCATCCTCCAGCCTGCGTGACAGAGCAAGAACCTGTCTTAAAAAAAAAAAAAAGTTGGGTATGGTGCCTCACGCCTGTAATCCTAGCACTTTGAGAGGCCAAGGTGGGTGGATCATCTGAGGTCAGGAGTTGGAGACCAGCCTGACCAACACAGAGAAACCCCGTCTCTACTAAAAATACAAAATTAGCCAGGCATGGTGGTACATGCCTGTAATCCCAAACTCAGGAAGGCTGAGGCAGGAGAATTGCTTGAACCCGGGAGGTGGAGGTTGCGGTGAGCCGAGATCACACCACTGCACTCTAGCCTGGGTAACAAGAGTGAAACTTGGTCTCAAAAAAAAATATATATATATATATATATATACACATATATATAAAATTAGCCAGTCACCAGCTGGGCATAGTAGCTCATGCCTGTAATCCCAGCACTTTGGGAGGCTGAGGCAGGCAGATCACCTGAGGTCAGAAGTTCGACACCAGCCTGACCAACACGGAGAACGCACATCTCTACTAAGCATACAAAATTAGCAGGGCGTGGTGGCGCATGCCTATAATTCCAGCTACTTGGGAGGCTGAGGCAGGAGAATCGCTTGAATCCGGGAGGCGGAGGTTGTGGTGAGCAGAGGTTGCGCCATTGCACTCCAGCCTGGGCAACAAGAGCGAAACTCCATCTCAAAAAAAAAAAAAAAAAATTAAATTAAATTAAATAAATAAAAATAAATTTACCAAAAAAAAAAAATCTTACCGAAAATAGTTTTCTTTCTTCTTCCTCACTGATGTTAACACTGCTGAAGCCTTGACTCGTCTTTTTTTCTCTAGAAGAGTCCATCAAGCTTCCTAGCAATACTTTCATTTCTTCTTCGTCACTGTCTGGAGAATCAAATGTTCTAGCAGGTTCTTTCTGTTTGGGGGTTTGCAAAGTCCTCTCTTTCCCAACAGGTGCTTCAGGGGATATGTTTTCAACAGATGGTTGTTTCTTCTTCAGAAACCTACTGACCTTTGTGTTCTGTGCATTATTTTCGGTGACAGGAAGTTCACGGGCTTGATTCTGGGAAGTTTTGTCTGTGTTCTGGGACGCAAGTTTGATTGCACCCCCGGAAAGGATTCTGTCAGCTCTCTTTGGAAGACTGGCATTGGTGGTCGTTGAGTCAGATTCTGTGTCAGACAAATTCCTCTGCAGCTTCCGATTCATGATCCGGGTTTCCAGCTGGGCCAGCTTCATGAGTGCGGCATTGGCTCGGATCCTGGAGTCAGTGGTGGGCGGTCTACTTGAAGCAAGGCTGGGTCCACTCCCCAGTACAGGGTTCTCTTTCAGGAGTAAGTGTTTCTCACCTAGAGTTTGGTTTCTTTTTAGAAATCTGCTATGACCAGGTGCTATTTTGGTAAGATTTCTACTGATCTGGAAGTTTCTGATTTCTTCCATTGTTGAATCTTCTAAGGAAGTGTCACTGAAGTCACCAAAAACATCGCGCATGGGACAGCTGGCTTTCCTTGCAGAAGCCATTCTGTGGGGGAAGGGGAGACAATTTTGCATAAGAGTACCTGCTGTTTGGGCCGGACGCTGTGGCTCACGCCTGTAATCCCAGCACTTTGGGAGGCCCAGGCGGGCGGATCACGAGGTCAGGAGATCGAGACCATCCTGGCTAACATGCTGAAACAATGTAACTATCCATTAATTAGTGAATGGATTACAAACTATGGTCCATCCATACAGTGGAATACTGTTCAGCAATTTAAAACACAAATACTAGGCCGGGCGCGGTGGCTCAAGCCTGTAATCCCAGCACTTTGGGAGGCTGAGACGGGTGGATCACGAGGTCAGGAGATCGAGACCATCCTGGCTAACACGGTGAAACCCCATCTCTACTAAAAATACAAAAAAATTAGCCGGGCGTGGTGGCAGGCGCCTGTAGTCCCAGCTACTCGGGAGGCTGAGGCAGGAGAATGGCGTGAACCCAGGAGGCGGAGCTTGCAGTGAGCCGAGATAGTGCCACTGCACTCCAGCCTGGGCGACAGAGCAAGACTCCGCCTCAAAAAAAAAAAAAAAAAAAAAAACACACAAATACTAATATTATAGCATGCAGGAATCTCAAATACATCATACTAAGGGAAAGTAGCCGAGCCGGACCCGGTGGCTCATGCCTATAATCCCAGCACTTTGGGAGACCGAGGCAGGTGCATCACGATGTCAGGAGTTCGCGACCAGCCTCACCCACATGGTGAAACCCTATCTCTACTAAAAATACAAAAATTAGCGGGGCATGGTGGCGTGCGCCTGTAATCCCAGCTACTCAGGATGCTGAGGCAGGAGAATTGCTTGAACCTGGGAGGAGGAGTTTGCAGTGAGCTGAGATCACGCCACTGCACTCCAGCCTGGGTGATAGAGCGAGACTCTGTCTCAAAAAAAAAAAAAAAAAAAAAAAAAGGAGCCATACACTAAACTCCACACACCCTATCATTTCATCTGTAAGAACTGTCAAGAAAATGCAAACCAATAAACTCAGAAAGCAGATCAGGCCGGTGCTGTGGCTCACGCCTATAATCCCAGCACTTTGGGAGGCCAAAGCTGGCAGATCACGTGAGGTCAGGAGCTCGAGATCAATGTAGCAAACATGGTGAAACCCCATCTCTACTAAAATTACAAAAAATTAGCCAGAGTGCAGTGGCATGATCACCAGCTTCGACCTCCTGGACACAAGCAATCCTGCCTCCCGCCTCAACATCCCGAGTAGCTAGGACTGTAGACGCGAGCCACTACACCTGGCTAATTTTTTATTTTTATCTTTTTTAGAGATGGGGTCTCGCCATGTTGCCCAGGCTGGTCTGGATCTCCTGGCCTCAAGTGATCCTCCCGCCTCTGCCTCCCAAAGTGCTGGGATTCCAGGAGTGAGCCACCACCCCCCGCCTGACGCAAAGTTCTAAAGCTGGATGAACTGGATGATGGCGACGACTTCACAGCTTTGTAGATTTACTAAAAATAACGGAGTCGTCAGCTTAAAAGAGGCGAACACTATGGTATGTAAATAAAGGCTCAACAAAGTTGTTAAAAACCAACAAACCAAAATTTGAAAACCCTGGCGCCCATCAGATCATCCTGCTCTTCTCCCCAGCTATGAAGCGACCCGCCCAGGACCACGCTCCAATAGACTCCAGGCAGAGAAACTGAGGCGCGGGACCATCCTGCAGCTGCCCAACCAGCTCAGCCACGGAGAAGGCCCCATTTCCCCGTATCCCCCTCGCGAGCCCGGACGCCCAGCCAGGTCACCTCCCCACCAGCCCTACCGACCTCCTCCTACGCCGTCCATTCGCAGAGGCAGCCGCCACATTCAGGCCTGAGGGACCGGTTGCCCTGAGCAACACAGCCAGAGCAAAAGAGACTATATCTCCCGGCAAGCACCGCGTCCCGCAGACCAATGGCGTCCCGAATCACAATCGCGAGGCATCATGGGAGCGGTAGTTCCCGGGCGGGCCCGACGTGCCTAGCGCCGCAGCTACCAGTGGGACCCTCAGGTCATAATCGCGAGTTGTGACGGGAGTTGTAGTTTCGGGATACGCCTGAAGAGCCGCAGAGAGCGCCGGGAGCTAAGGGGCTGCGGCGACCGAAACCGCACTGCAAGCCCCCATGGCCGGAGTTCGGGTACCCCTCTGGGGCATCTGCATGCTGCGAGTGGCGCTGGCTACCGTCTATTTCCAAGAGGAATTTCTAGACGGAGGTGAAGGGGCCACGCCCGTAGTGGCAGAGGTGTAAGCTCCCCCATCTGCGCCCCCCAAGGCTGGGCAGAGTCGTCGCGGGGTCGACGGCAGCGAACTCTGGAATCCTCGAGGGTCCCCCTCACCCTTCCCTTAGGCCAAATTAACCATGGTCACCTCTAATCGGTGTTATTTCCCCCTCCCCACAGAGCATTGGAGAAACCGATGGGTGCAGTCCACCAATGACTCACGATTTGGGCATTTTAGACTTTCGTCGGGGAAGTTTTATGGTCATAAAGAGAAAGATAAAGGTTAGTGTAGAATCAGGACCAAATTGAGCCTAATGTTATATCTCCATAGCAACCTCTCAAGGTAGTTGTGGCACAGCCAAACGCTTTTATTCCCGATTTACAGATGAAGACCTTAAGGCGAGGGGCTCCTTACCTTTGTTTTTTTGTTTCCTCTCTCTTTTCTTTCTTTCCTTTCCTTTTTTTTTTTTTTTTTTTGTTTGTGATGGAGGCTTGCTCTGTTGCCCAGGCTGCAGTGCACTGGCACGATCTCAGCTCACTGCAACTTCCACTTCCCGGGTTCAAGCAATTCTCCTGCCTCAGCCTCCTGAGTAGCTGGGACTACAGGCGCGTGCCACTATGACCAGCTGATTTTTGTACTTTTAGTAGAGACAGGGTCCACGTTGGCCAGGCTGATCTCGAACTCCTTGACCTCGTGATCCACCCGCCTCGGCCACCCAAAGTGCTGAGATTACAGGCATGAGCCACTGCACCCAGCCTCCTCTCTCCTTTCTTTATTGCAGAAGATTAATTTTTTTTTTTTTTTTTTTTTTTTTTTTTTTTGAGTTGGAGTCTAGCTCTGTCACCCAGGCTAGAGTGCAGTGGCACGATCTTTTTTTTCTTTTTTTTTTTTTTTTTTCCAGACGGAGTCTCGCTCTGTCACCCAGGCTGGAGTGCAGTGGCCGGATCTCAGCTCACTGCAAGCTGCGCCTCCCGGGTTTACGCCGTTCTCCTGCCTCAGCCTCCCGAGTAGCTGGGACTACAGGCACCCGCCACCTCGCCCGGCTAGTTTTTTGTATTTTTTAGTAGAGATGGGGTTTCACCGTGTTAGCCAGGATGGTGTCGATCTCCTGACCTCGTGATCCGCCTGTCTCGGCCTCCCAAAGTGCTGGGATTACAGGCTTGAGCCACCGCGCCCGGCCAATGGCACGATCTTGGCTCACTCAAACCGCCGCCTCCCGGGTTCAAGCGATTCTCTTGCTTCAGGCTTCCCAGGAGTGGCGATTACAAGCTCGTGCCGCTATGCCGTGCTAATTTTTTTAGAGACAGAGTTTCACCACGTTGCTCAGGCTGGTCTCAAACTCCTGGCCTCAAGTAATCTACCTGCCTCGGCCTCCTAAAGTGCTGGGATTATAGGCGTGAGCCATGGTGCTTGGCCTATTATTACTTTTATTGGTATTAGGTCCTCTGAAGTCCAAGGAGACATATTCAGCTTATTTGGTATAATAAAATCATATTTGAAGCACTGTCAAATATGTAATGGTATTTAACCTTCTTTGGATTATATTTATATGAATGTGTTATTAGTAGGCATTACCGAAGTTGCCCCTCTTAATAAACACTAGTCAAGTGCATTTGAGGATCAAGGGCCACGCCCCTCAGAAGGAAAAGGTTAGTGGGTGCTTTTTCTCATTTTAATTTTCACATTAAAAAAAATAGGCCGGGCGCGGTGGCTCACACCTGTAATCCCAGCACTTTGGGAGGCGTTAGGCGGGAGGATCATGAGGTCAGGAGTTCAAAACCAGTCTGGCCAATATGGTGACACCCCGTCTCTACTAAAAATACAAAAATTAGCTGGGTGTGGTGGCGCATGCCTGTAGTCCCAGCTACTCGGGAGGCTGAGGCAGAAGAATCGCTTGAACCCGGGAGGCAGAGGTTGCAGTGAGTAGAGATCATGCCACTGCACTCCAGCCTCAGTGACAGAGTGAGACTCCATCTAAAAAAAAAAAAAAGAAAAATATGGTCAGGCACGGTGGCTCAGGCCTGTAATCCCAGCACGTTGGGAGGCCAAGGCAGGTGGATTACTTGAGGTCAGGAGCTTGAGACCAGCCTGGCCAACATAGTGAAACCGTGTCTCTACAAAAATACAAAAAAATTAGCCAAGGGTGGTGGCGCACACCTGTAATCCCAGCTACTTGGGAGGCTGAGGCAGGAGAATCGTTTGTACCCAGGAGACAGAGGTTGCAGTGAACTGAGATCGCACCACTGCACTCCAGCCTGGGTGACAGAATGAGACTCCATTTCAAAAAAAGAAAAAAAAATAGAGAGGTAAACATTACATCTTGTCACCTGCACATTCTTCAGGGTACAACACAGTGAGTTTTTACTTTTGTACAGGCAGGTCAAGATAAGGCAAGCGGATCACTTGAGGTTGAGACTAGCCTGGCCAACATGGCGAAACTCCATCTCTATTAAAAATACAAAAATTAGCTGGGCATAGTGGCACACAATTATAATCTCACCTACTTCAGAGGCTGAGGCAGGAGAATCACTTGAACCCAGGAGGCAGAGGTTGCAGTGAACTGAGATCATGCCACTGCCCTCCAGCCTGGATAACAGAGAAGACTCTGTCTCAAGAAAAAAAAAAAAAAAAATATATATATATATATATACACACACACACACACACACACACAAATATTAGCTGAGCATGGTGGCATAGGCCTGTAGTCCCAGCTACTTGGGAGATTAAGGCAGGAGAATCACATGAATCCGAGAGGCAGAGGTTACAGTGAGTCGAGATCTTGCCACTATAGCCTGGGCAACAGAGCAAGACTCTGTCTCAAAAAAAAAAAAAAAAAAAAAAAATCTAGCTTAAAGAGAGCTAATCCAAGCTCTCGAAGTTTGAGGACAACTGTGTGGAAAACACAGATGCCAAAGTATAGAAGCCACTATAGCCTGGGCAACAGAGCAAGACTCTGTCTCAAAAAAAAAAAAAAAAAATCTAGCTTAAAGAGAGCTAATTCAAGCTCAAAGTTTGAGGACAACTTTGCGGAAAACACAGATTCCAAAGAATAGAAGTCAGTGTTGTGAAGTGTAGAAGTTTGGGATCATTTGTATAGACAAAGTTTAGGAAAACTTAACAGAATTTCAGCATCTTTCTAGGCAAGGCTTAATACGTAATGACCGTGATCCCATTAGTCAAGGTGGTCTTTTTCTTTTGAGAAGGTATATTTAACATTTCACCCTGAAGATGTAGCAGTCACAGCATCTTTTGTGCCATCTGGTCTGAGTTAGGTACAGTTCAGTACTGGAGGCAGTCAAACTGTAACCAAGGTCAGTGGTCACAAATGGAGGAGGCCTGGTCTCTGGTCTGTCCTAGTCATTTGCAGAACAAGAACAATGAGGAAGAAGGTTTATCTATGACTTAAGAAACAGAGGTTACACCTGCATGCAACATGACTCAGATGACACATATTGCTCAAGGCTTTTATTTATTTTATTTATTTTTTATTTTTTGAGAGGGAGTTTCACTTTTGTTGCCCAGGCTAGAGTGCAATGGCGTGATCTCTGCTCACCATATCTGCCTCCCAGGTTCACGTGATTCTTCTGCCTCAGCCTCCCAAGTAGCTAGGATTACAGGCGTGTGCCACCATACCTGGCTATTTTTTTTTTTTTTTTTGAGACCGAGTCTCGCTCTGTCACCCACGCTGGAGTGCAGTGGCCCAATTTCAGCTCGGCTCCGCCTCCCAGATTCATGCCATTCTCCTGACTCAGCCTCTCGAGTAGCTGGGACTACAGGTGCCCACCACCACACCCGGCTAATTTTTTGTATTCTTTTTTTTAGTAGAGGTGGAGTTTCACCACGTTAGCCAGGATGGTCTTGATCACCTGACCTCGTGATCTGCCTGCCTCGGCTTCCCAAAGTGCCGGGATTACAGGCGTGAGCCACCGTGCCTGGCCTAAGTTTGTATTTTTAGTGGAGACAGGGTTTCTCCATTTTGGTCAGGCTGGTCTCCAACTCCTGACCTCAGGTGATCCACCTGTCTCGGCCTCCCAAAGTGTTGGGATTAGGGGCATGTACCACCGTGTCCAACCTGTTTTATTTATTTTTTTAAACGGAGTCTCGCCCTGCCGCCCAGGCTGGGGTGCAATGGGGCGATCTGGGCTCCTCCACCTCCCAGGTTTAAATGATTCGGCTGCCTCAGCTTCCCGAGTAGCTGGGACCACAGGCACGCGCCACTGCACCTGGCTAATTTTGTATTTTTAGTAGAAATGGGGTTTCCCCACATTGGCCAGGCTCGTCTCAAACTTCTGACCTCAAGTGATATACCTGGCTCAGCCTCCCAAAGTGCTGAGATTACAGATGTGAGCCACCATACCTGGCCTCTCAAGGCTTTTAAATTGTATTTGCGGGCCGGGCGCGGTGGCTCAAGCCTGTAATCCCAGCACTTTGGGAGGCCGAGACGGGCGGATCATGAGGTCAGGAGATCGAGACCATCCTGGCTAACACAGTGAAACCCCGTCTCTACTAAAAAATACAAAAAAACTAGCCGGGCGAGGTGGTGGGCGCCTGTAGTCCCAGCTACTCGGGAGGCTGAGGCAGGAGAATGGCCTGAACCCGGGAGGCGGAGCTTGCAGTGAGCTGAGATCTGGCCACTGCACTCCAGCCAGGGGGACAGAGTGAGACTCCGTCTCAAAAAAAATAAAATAAAATAAATTGTATTTGCTTTCACATATGTGAAAGTTTAGGCTGGGCGCGGTGACTCACACCCATAATCTTAGCACTCTGGGAGGTCAAGGTGAGTGGATCATTTGAGGCCAAGAGTTCCAGACCAGCCTGGGCAACATGGTGAAACCCTGTCTCTACTAAAAATACAAAAATTAGCCAGGTGTGGTGTCGCATGCCTGTAGTCCCAGCTACTCAGGAGGTTAAGGCAGGAGAATCGCTTGAGACCAGGAGTCGGAGTGAGCAAGGTCGCGCCACTGGACTCCAGCCTGGGCAACAAGAGCAAAACCCCATCTCAAGAAAAGAATAAAATAAAATAAAATAAAAAGAATGCCTCCACCTTCAGGTTTGTCTGACATACTCTCATAAAAGAACGAGATTTGAGACTGTGCCTAGGGGCTACTAGGAAAGGAAGGGTTGGTTTTGAAGTGAACACATAAATATGAGTGACAGGATGTTGTCTTCATGAAAGAGTGACACAGTTGACACGTACAGGGCAGCCCACCCAGTGCTATGAAGCGTTACGTTACAAATCAGTGTGCCGTGGAACGCATTCTCATCACCACCTGTTCTGTCAGTCCAGTAGCTGTTTCAGAATGAGAATTTAGGAAACATTTAACAGTCTATTTTTTTATTCATATGCTACACAGGTTTCATTGAATCATCCCAACCCTAGGAAGATGAACAGAAGCTAAATTAACCCATGTTATTCCTAATTAGATTCATAATTAGATTTGACATTTAGAGTTGAAGTACTTTTGTAACTTAAAGCATAACAGTATGGCCAGGTGCAGTGGCGCATGCCTGTAATCCCAGCACTTTGGGAGGCCGAGGCAGGTAGATCACCTGAGGTTAGGAGTTCGAGACCAGCCTGGCCAGCATGGTGAAACCCTCTCTCTACTCACAATACAAAAATTAGCTGGGCATGGTGGCAGGCGCCTGTAATCCCAGCAGCTACTGGGGAGGCTGAGGCAGGAGAATCTCTTAAACCCAGGAAGCAAAGGTTGCAGTAAGCCAAGATGGCGCCACTGCACTCCAGCCTGGGCAACAGAATGAGACTCCGTCTAAAAAATAAATAGCCAGGCGTGGTGGCTCACACCTGTAATCCCAGCACTTTGGGAGGCCAAGGTGGGCGGATCACGAGGTCAGGAGATCGAGACCATCCTAACATGGTGAAACCCCATCTCTACTAAAAATACAAGAAATTAGCCGGGCATGGTGGCGGGCACCTGTAATCCCAGTTACTCGGGAGGCTGAACCAGGAGAATGACTTGAACCCAGGAGGCAGAGCTTATAGTAAGCTGAGATTGTGCCACTGCACTCCAGCCTGGGTGACAGAGCGAGACTCTGTCTCAATAAATAAATAAATAAATAAATAAATAAATAAATAACAGTAGTATATTAGGAACAAAAACTTCCAGGTGTGTGAAATAAAAGTTGTATGGGCCGGGCACGGTGGCTCACACCTGTAATCCCAGCACTTTGGGAGGCCGAGGCAGGCAATCACCTGAGGTCAGGAGTTCGAGACCAGCCTGACCAACATGGTGAAACCCCGTCTCTACTAGAAATGCAAAAATTAGCCAGATGTGGTGGCAGATGCCTGTAATACCAACCTCGGGAGGCTGAGGCAGGAGAATCGCTTCAACCCGGGAAGCAGAGGTTGCAGTGAGCCGAGATCGTGCCATTGCACTCCAGCCTGGATGACACAGCAAGACTCCATCTAAAAAAAAAAAAAAAAGTTGTATGGAAACAGAGTGCCTGCTAGTGGTATACTCATTATGCATTATTGTATAATGCTCTGTTGTCACTTTGGATCACTGTAAACAGTTGGGACATTTGTGGTTGGGAGTAAGGGAAGGACATCCATTTAACATCCATTTAATGTTCCGTACATTACTGAACACAGCATGATTCCCAAACCTTCATGAGTATTTTTTGTTCAAAGGTCTGCAGACCACTCAGAATGGCCGATTCTATGCCATCTCTGCACGCTTCAAACCATTCAGCAATAAAGGGAAAACTCTGGTCATTCAGTACACAGTAAAACATGAGCAGAAGATGGACTGTGGAGGGGGATACATTAAGGTCTTTCCTGCAGATGTTGACCAGAAGAACCTGAATGGAAAATCGCAGTACTATATTATGTTTGGTGAGTTTTGGTGGTACAACACAACCACTTCTAGCGACTTTGAAAACCCTCCCACTTCACGGGATCTTTAGACTAAGACTTGGCTAATGTAGTTAAGGTAGTAGTATTGAGTATATCGGATCCAAGGTTTATAGCACTATTAAAGCTAATTAATATAAAAAGGCAATGGTACCAGTCTGTTGTGTTCCTGAAGAAGTTATTTATTCACCATAAATCTTGCCCTCATGCAGGGTAAGGATACCTTATCTGAAATGTTTGGGAGCAGAAGTGTTTTGGATTTTGGAATTTTAGGGGGGATTTTGGATTATTTGCATTATCCTTACCGGTTGAGCATCGCTAATTTGAAAAATCTGAAATCCACAAAGCTCCAATGAGCATTTCCTTTGAATGTCATGTTGAGTCTAAAAGTTTGGGTTTTGGAACACTTCAGATTTGTGATTTTTTGATTTGGGTTGCTCAACCTGTGCAGTTTTTTTTTGTTTTGGTTTTGGTTTGAGCCAGAGTTGTCACTCTTGTGGCCCAGGCTGGAGTGCAATGGCAGTGGCCCGATCTCACCTCCCTGCAGTCTCCGCCTCCTGGGTTCAAGTGATTCTCCTGCCTCAACCTCTTGAGTAGCTGGGATTATAGGCATGTGCCACCATACCTGGCTAATTTTTTTTTTTTTTTTTTTTTTGGATTTTTGTAGATATGGGGTTTCCTTTTTTTTTTTTTTTTTTTTGAGACAGAGTTTCGCTCTTGTTGCCCAGGCTGGTATGGAATGGCATAATGTCGGCTCATTGCAACCTCCTCCTCCCAGGTTCAAGGGATTCTCCTGCCTCAGCCTCCCAAGTAGCTGGGATTACAGGTGTGCACCAGCACGCCCAGTTAATTTTTGTATTTTTAATAGAGATAGAGTTTCACCATGTTGGTCAGGCGGGTCTCAAACTCCTGACCTCAGGTGATCTGCCCACCTCAGCCTCCCAAAGTGCTGGGATTACAGGCGTGAGCCACTGTGGCTGGCTGAGATAGGGTTTCACCATGTTGGTCAGGTTGGTCTCAAACTCCTGGCTGATATCGAACTCCTGACCTCAGGTGATCCACCTGCTTTGGCTTTCCAAAGTGCTGGGATTGCAGGCGTGAGCCACCACGCCTGGCCTCAACCTGTGTTTTGAATCCTTTAGGACTCAGTAAACCTTGGCCATGGGCTAAATTGGCCCACTGCCTATGTTTATATGACCCACGAACTAAAAATGGTTTTTACATTTTTAACTGGTTCAGAAAAAATCAATACAAGGATGATATTTTGTGATACATGAAAATGGTATGAAATTTAGATTTCAGTGTCCAGAAATGAAGTCTTACTGGAATGCAGCCTCACTCTGTTCATTTACATGTTGTCTGTGGCTGCTTGCCAGTACCGGTGGCAGAGTTAAGTTGTCATGACAGAGATCATTAGGCTTACAAAGCCAACAATATTTTACCATCTGGCCTTTATAGAAAAAGCCTGCAAACCTCTGGAAAATATTAAATGTCTCCTGACACCAGGAGATTAAAATTTGTGCTAGAACTAGGAAGGGATCATACTGGGCCACAGGAAACAGACATAAGTATAGCATAACTTAAAACTTTAAGAACAAATGTACCTCAGGCCAGGTGTGGTGGCTCACACCTGTAATCTCAGCATTTTGGGAGGCTGAAGCAGGCGGATCACTTGAGGTCAGGAGTTCAAGACCAGCCTGGCCAACATGGTGAAACCTTGTCCCTACTAGAAATACAAAAAAAATTAGCCGGGCATGGTGGTGCATGCCTGTAGTCGGGAGGCTGAGGCAAGAAAATCGCTTGAACCTGAGAGGCAGAGGTTGCAGTGAGCCGAGATCTCACCACTGCACTCCAGCCTGGGTGACAGAACGAGACTCTGTCTCCAAAAAAAGAATGAATGTGCTTCCAAAATATTCATCCTTAGCTGGGCACAGTGGCTCATGCCTGTAATTCCAGCACTTTGGGAGGCCAGGCAGGAGGATTACTTGAGTCCAGGAGTTCAAGACCAGCTTGGCCAACATAGTGAGACCCTGTCTCTACAAAAAATAAAAATTAGGGCTGGGTGCAGTGGCTCACGCCTGTAATCCCAGCACTTTGGGAGCCCGAGGCAGGCGGATCACCTGAGGTCAGGAGTTCGAGACCAGCCTGACCAACATGGAGAAATCCCATTTCTACTAAAAATAAAAAATTAGCTGGGCATGGTGGCACATGCTTGTAATAATCCCAGCTACTCGGGAAGCTGAGGCAGGAGAATTGCTTGAACCCAGGAGGCAGAGGTTACGGTTAGTCGAGATCGTGCCATTACACTCCAACGTGGGTAACAAGAGCAAAACTTCATCTCAAAATAAATAAATAAAAATAAATAAAAACTAAAAATAAATAAAAATAAAAATAGAACTTAAAAATACCCCAGATATCCGAAACATCTGCTGAGGGAGGATCCCTTGAGCCCAGGAGTTTGAGATCAGCCTGGACAATATAGCAAGACCCCATCTCTGAATTTTTTTTTTTTTTTTTTTTTTTGAGACAGAGTTTTTTTGCTCTTGTCGCCCAGGCTAGAGTGCAATGGCAAGATCCCAACTCACTGTAACCTCTGCCTCCCAGGTTCAAGCGATTCTCCTGCCTCAACCTCCCAAGTAGCTGGGGTTAGAGGTGCCCCGCCACCACGCCCAGTTAATTTTTTTGTATTTTTGTAGAGACAGGGTTTCACCATGTTGGACAGGTTGGTCTCGACCTACTGACCTCAGGTGATCCACCCACCTTGGACTCCCAAAGTGCTGGAATTACAGGCGTGAGCCACCGCGCCTGGCCCCATCTCTACAACAATTTCGAAAATTAACCCAGTGAGGTTGCACACACCTGTGGTTCTAGCTACTCAGGAGGCTGAAGTAGGAGAATCTCCTGAGCCGAGGAGTTTGAGGATGCAGTGGGCTATGATCACACAACTGCACTCCAGCCTGGATGACAGAATAAGACCCTGTCCGAAAATAAATAAATACATAAGGAAGGGAAAACCCCTGTATAGCACACGTCTACTACATCTGAATTGCCAAGCAGCATAATTTGGGGTCAAAAAAAAGATTAAAATAAACTTTTCTTGGTATTTCAGTTTTGAATTCAACAGTTTCATTTTACTCAAACCCACTCTTACTATTGGAACGCTTTGTGATAATGAGTCAGCGCCAGCCATTAGTGTGAGGGGAGCTTGCTGAGGGTGAGGGGTTAAGGAGGAAGAGAAGAGAAGCACAGTTATTGTCAGAGTCTTGACATTTGCATGAATTCCTATGAATAAGTTATGCATAAAACCCCAGACAGGCAACACAGAGCCCATCTGTCTACATTTCCTTATGAACATCCATTACATGCGTAAATACCTTTTTTTTTTTTTTTTGAGATGGAGTATTGCTCTGTCACCCAGGCTGAAGTGCAAAGATGTAATCTTGGCTCACTGCAACCTCCACTTCCCAGGTTCAAGTGATTCTCCTGCCTCAGCCTCCCCAGTAGCTGGGATTACAGTTGCGTGCCACCACGCCTGGCTAATTTTTGTATTTTTAGTAGAGGCAGGGTTTCACCGTGTTGGTCAGGCTGATCTCAAACTCCTGACCTCAGGTGATCCGCCTGCCTCGGCCTCCCAAACTGCTATTACAGGCGTGAGCAACTGCACCCGGCCACATGCATAAGTATCTTATTATTGCTGTTAAAGGACAATGTTTTGACTTTCCACTTGCTTCTGAAGCTTAATTAAATACTCAAAGTGGCCGGTGCAGTGGCTCATACTGGGAGGCTGAGGTCGGAGAATCACTTGAGGCCAGGAGTTCAAGACTAGCCTGGACAACATGGGGAAACCCTCATCTCTACTAAAAATACAAAAATTAGGCGGATGTGCTGGCAGCGCCTGTAATCCCAACTACTCAGGAGACTGAGACAGGAGAATCGCTTGAACCTGGGAGGCGGATGTTGTAGTAAGCCAAGATCATGCCACTGCACTCCAGCCTAGGTGACAGAGCGAGACTCCATCTCAAAAAGAAAAAAAGAAAGAAAAGAAAAGAAAAAAAAAAAAAAGAAAAGAAAAAGGCAATCTAGCCCCCAGGCAAGAAGGAGGTCTGCTTTGGGAAAGGACTGTTACCGTCTTTGTTTAAACTATAAACTAAGTTTCTCTCAGAGTTAGTTCAGCCTACGCCCAGGAATGAACAAGGACAGCCTGGAGGTTAGAAGCAAGATGAGTCAGTTAAGTGAGATCTCTTTCACTGTCTCAGTCTTAATTTTGCAAAGGCGGTTTCAAGTATGGTGACGCACACCTGTGATCCCAGCTACTTGGGAGGCTGAGGCGCAAGAGTCACTTGAACCTGGGAGGCAGAGGTTGCAGTGAGCTGAGATCGCACCACTGCACTCTAGCCTGGGTGACAGTGAGACTGTCTCAAAAAAAAAAAAAAAAAAAAAAATTCAAAGCGTGTAGGTACTTACGAATGGAGATGAAAATTCTGACCAATGTTGAGGAAAAATAAATTGCATGTTTCAATTTTGAACAAGTTGACTTTCATACAAATATTTCACATTCCATAGCATTTTATTTTTATTTTTTGAGATGGAGTCTCACTCTGTCACCCAGGCTGGAGTGCACTGGTGTGATCTCCGCTCACTGCAACCTCCGTCTCCCAAGTTCAAGGCATTCTCTTGCCTCAGCCTCCTGAGTAGCTGAGATTACAGGCACATGCCACCACACCTGGCTAATTTTTGTAATTTTAGTAGAGATAGGGTTTCACCATCTTGGTCAGGCTGGTCTCGAACTCCTGACTTCGTGATCCACCCATCTCGGCCTCCCAAAGTTCTGGGATTACAGCCATGAGCCACCACACCCAGCCTACTTTTTTTTTTTTTTTTTTTTTTTTTTTAATTGAGACAGAGCCTCGCTTGGTCACCCAGGCTGGAGTACAGTGGCCTGATCTCAGCTCACTGCAACCTCAACCTCCCGGGTTCAAGTGATCCTTTCGCCTTAGCCTCCCAAGTACCTGGGACTACAGGCACATGCCACCACTCCTGGCTAATTTTTGTATTTTTAGTAGAGATGGGGTTTTACCATGTTGGCCAGGCTGGTCTCAAACTCCTGGCCTCAAGTCTTCCCCCTACCTTGGCCTCCCAAAGTGCTGGGATTAGCAGGCCACTTTGAATATTTAAATAAGGTTCAGAACACACTCAAAAAGTGAGTGGAAAGCCAGGACATTGTCCTTTAACCATAATAAGATATTCACACATGTGACCAGATGCAGTGGCTCACACCTGTAATCTCAGCACTTTGGGAGGCCAAGGTGGGCAAATCACCTGAGGTCAGGAGTTCGAGACCAGCCTGGCCAGCATGGCAAAACCCCATCTCTACTAAAAACACAAAAATTGGCTGGGCCTGGTGGTGCATGACTGTAATCGCAGCTACTCTACTCAGGAGGTTGACGCAGAAGAATCACTTAAACCCAGGAGGAGGAGATTGCAGTGAGCCGAGATCCCACCATTACATTCCAGCCTGGGTGACAGAGTGAGACTCTGTCTCAAATGAATAAAAAAGTAACTTAGTGTGAATATCTCATTATCAGATTGTATCTGATTATATTTAAGAAGAATGGGCCATGCGTGGTGGTTCAAGTCCGTAATCCTAGCACTTTGGGAGGCCGAGGCGGGTGGATCACAAGGTCAGGAGTTTGAGACCAGCCTGGCCAACATGGTAAAACCCCATCTCTACTAAAAATACAAAAATTAGCTGGGCATGGTGGTGTGCGCCTGTAGTCCCAGCTACTCGGGAGGCTGAGGCAGGAGAATCACTTTAACCCGGGAGGCAGAGGTTGCTGTTGAGCCAAGATCACGTCACTGCACTCCAGCCTGGGTGACAGCGAGACTCCGTGTCAAAAAAAAAAAAGGAATGATTGTGGGTTGGTTATTCTATGGTGATTATGGAAAGAAATTGAGAGCAGCTAATTTTATTTTTTTTGTAGGACCCGATATTTGTGGATTTGATATCAAGAAAGTTCATGTTATTTTACATTTCAAGAATCAGTATCACGAAAACAAGAAACTGATCAGGTGTAAGGTAACTGCTCTTGTATTCAAATAAATGAGTGTTAACTCTTGCCTGATGATAATTAAGTTCAGAGAAATTAGTTTTGATAGTAAAATACTTAACTGAGCCAGGGATGGGTCTTCGTAAACATACCTCCTGTTTCCGGTTTCCAGTGTAGGGGGCCCATCAGAGATACTTGTCTCCTTTAACTGGTTTCCTGAAGTTTTTACCCCATCAGAAGGGCACTCTCATTTTTTCTGTGAGCTATGACATGTCATCATTTGCCCTATGAGGGTTACGATAGTACAGTCACATCTCAGCCACATCCATCCTCATTAATGAATGAAATATTCAGGATGGAGAAAACATTCTGGAGAAATGGCTGGGCGCAGAGGCTCACGCCTGTAATCCCAGCACTTTGGGAGACTGAGGCAAGAGGATTGCTTGAGCCAAGGAGTTCAAGACCAGCCTGGGCAACATGGCGAAACCCTGTCACTACAAAGAATACAAAAATTAGCCAGGTAAAGTGCCAGGAACCTGTGGTCCCAGCTACTTGGGAGGTTGAGGTGGGAGGATCACTTGAGCCCAGGAGGTCAAGGCTGTAGTAAGCTATGATTGCACCATTGCACTCCAGCCTGGGTGACAGAGCAAGACCCTGTCTCAAAAGAATAAATAAACAAAAATAAACTGCATATTTAGACTTGCATTAAAACATCGAGGGTTGGTCGGGCGCGGTGGCTCATGCCTGTAATCCCAGCACTTTGGAGGCCGAGGTGGGTGGATCACCTGAGGTCAGGAGTTTGAGACCAGCCTAGCTAACATGGTGAAAACCCATCTCTACTAAAAATACAAAAATTAATGGGGTATGGTGGTGGGTGCCTGTGATCCCAGCTTCTCAGGAGGCTGAGGCAGTAGAATCGCTTGAACTCGGGAGGTGGAGGTTGTAATGAGCTGAGATTGCACCACTGCACTCCAACCTGGGCAACAGAGTGAAACTCCACCTCAAAAAAAAAAAAAAAAGAAAAGAAATTGAGGGTTTAATTCTTACGCTTTTCCCCCTAAAATGTGCAGGTTGATGGCTTCACACACCTCTACACTCTAATTTTAAGACCAGATCTTTCTTACGACGTGAAAATTGATGGTCAGTCAATTGAATCCGGCAGCATAGAGTACGACTGGAACTTAACATCACTCAGGAAGGAAACATCCTCGGCAGAATCGAACGATTGGGAACAGACTAAAGACAACAAAGCCCAGGTGTGAATTTTTCCTGGACAACTCTAGAAAGTGCACAAATATAGTTTGTAAGTACCCAGTTACTGGACCATTGCCGCATGGCTGGTAGCCACGATGGCAATACTGTAGCACCAAATGGCCTCCCCAGAGCACACACTGCAGACCAGCCACATCGCTACACATCTGAAGGTATCGTAAAAGAGTATTTATTTATTTATTTATTTGAGCTGGAGCTTCGCTCTCGTTGCCCAGGCTGGAGTGCAGTGGCACAATCTCGGCTTACGGCAACCTCTGCCTCCCAGGTTGAAGTGATTCTCCTGCCTCAGCCTCCCGAGTAGCTGGGATTACAGGCACCCGCCACCACCCCCGGCTAATTTTTGTATTTTTAGTAGAGACGGGGTTTCACCATGTTGGCCAGGCTGGTCTCGAACTCCTGACCTCAAGTCATCTGCCCACTTCAGCCTCCCAAAGTGCTGGGATGACAGGCGTGAGCCACCACATCTGGCCATTGTCATCGCTTTTTGCACCATCATTTTCACTCTAGCCACTACTTGAAGTTTTCTACACCACTGCTCCTCTCCATAGCATGCAGGAAAGGGCTAAAGTCATATGGCAGGTTAGGGAGAAAAATCTAGGCAGTGTGGTATTGCCCTGAAGTCCTCAGTGGCATTGGAAGCACCAAGCACTTGGCCTCCTGATGACCGAATTGAAGAAGGGAAAGGGACACTGGGACAGGGGTCACCAGCCTGTGCCTGCCACTTGGCATCTAATAATTTCCTTTCTCAAATCTGAGCATCTGGTTGAGTGCGGTGGCTCATGCCTGTAATACCAGCAGTTCGGAGGTCAAGGCAGGAGGATCGCTTGAGCCCAGGAGTTCGAGACCAGCCTGGGCAACAGAGGGAGACTCTGACTGTACAAAACATAAAAATAGTAGCCAGGTATGATGGCGAGCATCTGTAGTCCGAGCTACTTGGGAGGCTGAGGCAGGAGGATCACTGGAGCCCAGGAGATTGAGGCTACAGTGAGCCATGATTGCGCTCTCTCACTCCAGTCTGGGCGAGAGCAAAACCTAGTCTCAAGAAACAAAAACAGAAGCAACGACAGCAAATATATGAGCATCTGATTGATTTTACTTTTTCCTTACCTGTCTTTGAAGGACTGGGAGAAGCATTTTCTGGACGCCAGTGCCAGCAAGCAGAGCGACTGGAATGGTGAACTGGATGGGGACTGGCCGGCGCCGATGCTCCAGAAGCCCCCATACCAGGTGTGTGGCCTCTTTGCATGATGCCAGGGATGCCCCAGGGATGCCCCAGGGATGCCCCTCCCCTGCCCATGTCATTGAGACCACCTCATATGGTTTTTCTGACGCAGGATGGCCTGAAACCAGAAGGTATTGATAGAGACATCTGGCTGCACCAGAAAATGAAGAATACCAACTATTTGACACAGTATGACCTCTCGGAATTTGACAACATTGGTGCCATCGGCCTGGAGCTTTGGCAGGTCATTTGGTTTTAAATTTACTTTAGTTTGTGTGTGTGTGTGTGTGTGTGTGTGTGTGTGTTGTTTTGTTTTTTTGAGACAGGGTCTTATTCTGTCACCTAGGCACGATTCTAGCTCACTGGAGCCTCAAACTGGGCCCAAGCAATCCTCCCACCTCAGCCTCCCAAGTAACTAGGACTACAGACACAAACCACCATACCCAGATTTTTTTTTTAAGAGATGGGGGGTCTCACTGTGTTGTCCAGGCTGGTTTGGAACTTCTAGGCTCAAGTAATCCTTCCACCTCAGCCTCCCAAAGTGCTGAGAGTTGTTGTTGTTGTTGTTGTTTTTAAATGCTTTGGTGATCCCAGCCAGGCATGGTGGCTCACGCCTGTAATCCCAGCACTATGGGAGGCCGAGGCGGGCAGACTGCCTGAGCTCAGGTATTTGAGACCAGCCTGGGCAACATAGTGAAAGTCCATCTCTACTAAAAATACAAAAATTAGCCGGGTGTGGTGGCCCGTGCTTGTAGTCCCAGCTACTCAGGAGACTGAGGCATGAGAATCACTTGAACCTGGGAGGAATCACTTGAACCCAGGAAGTGGAGGTTGCAGCGAGCCGAGATCGCACCACAGCGCTCCAGCCTGTGCAACGGAGCGAGACTTTGTTTAAAAAAAAAAAAAGAACAGCGACACTAAGTCTCAAAAAAAAAAAAAAAGTTTTGGTGATCCTAATGTGTAGCCAAGTTTGAGGAACCAGTGCCCTAGAGGGAAAGGATATTCTAGAAATGGATTTAAGCACCACCTACTATTCTAATTGCTGTTACGGTACACTGTACTGAGCAAAATACATCTGTTTCTTTTTGTCACATCAATAATGAAGGCCTAGTAGCCAGGGACAGTATGGCTCACGCCTGTAGTAGTCACAGCTACCGGGGAGGCTGAGATGGGATGATCACATGAGCCCGGAAGTTCTTTTTTTTGTTTTTCTTTGAGACAGAGTCTCACTCTGTCACCCAGGTGGGAGTACAGTGGCACGATCTCGGATCACCGCTGCCCCTGCCTCCCAGGTTCAAGTGATCCTCCCACCTCAGCCTCCCGAGTAGCTGGGACTACAGGCATGCACCGCCACACCTGGTAATTTTTGTATTTTTAGTAGAGACAGGGTTCACCATGTTGGCCAGGCTGGTCTTGAACTCTTGACCTCAAGTGATTCACCCGCCTCAGCCTCCCAAAGTGCTGGGATTACAGGTGTGAGCCACTACGCCTGGCCAAGCCCAGAAGTTCAAATCCAGCCTAGGCAACATAGCAAGACCCCATCTCTAAAAAATAAAAAATGTCACCTGAGCTTCATATATTTCCAAAAGAAAAAAGAAATGAAAAGTAAACAAATAATAAAGAGTAAAAGCATAATAATGAAGGTCTTATTTTCATCTGCAGGTGAGATCTGGAACTATTTTCGATAACTTTCTGATCACAGATGATGAAGAGTATGCAGATAATTTTGGCAAGGCCACCTGGGGCGAAACCAAGGTATGAAGCATGTGATTAACTCTTCCTACATCACTAATTTATTTGTATAAACTTTTTTTCTTTTTTTTTTTTGAGATGAAGTCCAGCTCTGTCACCCAGGCTGTACGTAGTACAGTGGCGTGATCTCGGCTCACTGCAACCTCCACCTCCCGGGTTCAAGCGATTCTCCTGCCTCAGACTCCCAAGTAGCTGGGACTACAAGCGCATGCCACCACGTCTGGCTAATTTGTGTATTTTTAGTAGAGAGGGGGTTTCACCATATTGCTCAGGCCGGTCTCGAAGTCCTGACCTCAGGTGGTCCACCTGCCTTGGCCTCCCAAAATGCTGGGATTACAGGTGTGAGCCACCGTGCCTGGCCCCATATGAGGTTAATATTGGCAGGTTCCACAGATTAGGACATGAAATCTTTTTTTTTTTGTCTCATTTTTTTTTTTTTTTTTGAGAGGGAGTCTCGCGCTTTCGCCCAGGCTGGAGTGCAGTGGCCGGATCACAGCTCACTGCAAGCTCCGTCTCCCGGGTTTGTGCCATTCTCCTGCCTCAGCCTCCCTATAGCTGGGACTACAGGCGCCCGCCACCTCACCCGGCTATTTTTTTGTATTTTTTAGTAGAGACGGGGTTTCACTGTATTAGCCAGGATGGTCTCGATCTCCTGACCTCGTGATCCGCCCGTCTCGGCCTCCCAAAGTGCTGGGATTACAGGCTTGAGCCACCGCGCCTGGCCGAAATCTTTTTTTTTTTTTTTTGAGACAGAGTCTCGCTCTGTTTCCAGGCTGAAGTACAGTGGTGTGATCTTGGCTTACTGCAACCTCTCCCTCCTTGGTTCAAGCAATTCTCCTGCCTCAGCCTCATGAGTAGCTGGGACTATAGGCACGCACCACCACACCCAACTACTTTTTGTATTTTTAGTAGAGACAGGGTTTCGCCATATTGGCCAGGATGGTCTCCATCTCTTGACCTCGTGATCCGCCTGCCTCAGTCTCCCAAAGTCCTGGGATTACAGGCTTGAGCCACCACACCCGGCCAGGACATGAAATCTTTAGAGGCTCTTCTTATTCAGCCTATCCCAGGTGGTGAGGGGGCTTCTAGAAGGCAGGGACCGCCTGAGTACTGACATGCATTTGGCCACATGGAAGCATAATCTCTGGGGCTTTTTTTTTTTTTTTTCCGAGACTGAGTCTTGCTCTGTCACCCAGGTTGGAGTGCAGTGGTGCGATCTTGGTTCACTGCACCCTCTGCCTCCTGGGTTCAAGTGATCCTCTCACCTCAGCCTCCCAAGCAGCTGAGACCACAGCTACACACCACCATGCCCAGCTAATTTTTGTATTTTTAATAGAGACAGGGTTTCACCATCTTGGCCAGGCTGGTCTCGAACTCCTGACCTCGTGATCCATCCGCCTCGGCCTCCCAAAGTGCTGGGATTACAGGCCTGAGCCACCATGCCTGGGGGGGCTTATGTTTTTTGTTTCTTTCTCCAGGGTCCAGAAAGGGAGATGGATGCCATACAGGCCAAGGAGGAAATGAAGAAGGCCCGTGAGGAAGAGGAGGAAGAGCTGCTGTCGGGAAAAATGAACGGGCGCGAACATTACTTCAATCGATTTCACAGAAGGAATGAACTTTAGTCATCCCCATTGGATATAAGGATGACTGGTAAAACCTCATTGCTACTTTAATCTATGTTTCAAACTCAAATGTCTACATGGCATTTTGTCCAATTTTCTTTGAAAAGTGTTTCACGCTTCTCAGTGGGGTTGGTTGCATCTCCCCGGTGATGCAGTTGCGCTGAGAAGTTCCCTCTTGACAATTTTACGCGCTAAAAACCAGAGGCCAGCAAGGGTCTGGCCAAAACCATGATTCCTTTTTCTTTTTTTCTTTTCTTTTTTTTTTTTTGAGACAGAGTTTCACTCTTTTTGCCCAGGCTGGAGTGCAATGGCGCGATCTCAGCTCACCGCAACCTCCACCTCCCGGGTTCAAGCGATTCTCCTGCCTCAGCCTCCTGAGTAGCTGGGATTACAGGCATGCGCCACCACCCCGGCTAATTTTGTATTTTTAGTAGAGACGGGGTTTCTCCATGTTGGTCAGGCTGGTCCTGAACTCCCGACCTCAGGTGATCCACCTGCCTCGGCCTCCCAAAGTACTGGGATTACAGGCGTGAGCCACCACGCCCGGCGATTCCCTTTTTTTTTTTTTTTGAGACGGAGTCTTGGTCTGTCACCCGCGCTGGAGTGCAGTGGCCGGATCTCAGCTCACTGCAAACTCCGCCTCCCGGGTTTACGCCATTCTCCTGCCTCAGGCTCCCAAATAGCTGGGACTACAGGCGCCCGCCACCTCGCCCAGCTAGTTTTTTGTATTTTTTTAGTAGAGACGGGGTTTCACTGTTTTAGCCAGGATGGTCTCGATCTTCTGACCTCGTGATCCGCCCGTCTCGGCCTCCCAAAGTGCTGGGATTACAGGCTTGAGCCACCACGCCCGGCCGGCGATTCCCTTTTCTTAACTCCCCTAGTCTTTTTAGAAAATAAAAGTTGACCAGGAAGTGTGCCTCACACCTATAATCGCATCACTTTGGGAGACTGAGATGGGTGGATCACTTGAGCTCAGAGTTCAAGACCAGCCTGGCCAACATGGTGAACCAGCCTGGCCAACATGGTGAACCAGCCTGGTTGCGCGCGCCACCACACCCGGCTAATTTTTTGTATTTTTAGTAGAGACGGGGTTTCACGGTGTTAGCCAGGATGGTCTCAATCTTCTGACCTCGTGATCTGCCTGCCTTGGCCTCCCAAAGTGCTGGGATTATAGGCATGAGCCACTGCAGCCAGCCATATTTTTTGTTTTTTAATTTAATTTTTATAGGAATGGGAGTCTCACATGTTGCCCAGGCTGGTCCTGAACTCCTGGACTCAAGCCATCCTCCCACCTTGGTGTCGCAAAGCTCTGGGCTTACAGGTGTGAGCCACTGCTCCTGGTCGAGTCTTCTTCTGGAAGAGACCCAGAATCATGCTGAAACTCGTGATGAAAGTAATCAAATTGGCCGGGCGCGGTGGCTCAAGCCTGTAATCCCAGCACTTTGGGAGGCCGAGACGGGCGGATCACGAGGTCAGGAGATCGAGACCATCCCGGTTAATACGGTGAAACCCTGTCTCTACTAAAAAGTACAAAAAACTAGCCAGGCGAGGTGGCGGGCGCCTGTAGTCCCAGCTACTTGGGAGGCTGAGGGAGGAGAATGGCGTGAACCCGGGAGGCGGAGCTTGCAGTGAGCTGAGATCTGGCCACTGCACTCAAGCCTGGGCGATAGAGCGAGACTCCGTCTCAAAAAAAAAAAAAAAAAAAAAAAAAAGTAATCAAATTTATGACACCAGAAATTTGGAATCTAGTGATGTTATGAATAAGCCAGATAAATTGGAATTTATATGCAGAATATTGAGAGTTGACCAGTGTGGGCCGGGTGCAGTAGCTCACACCTGTACTCCCAACACTTTGGGAGACAGAGGTGTGTAAATTGCTTGAATCCAGGCGTTCAAGACCAGCCTGGGCAGTGTGGCAAAATTCTGCCTCTACAAAAAATACTAAAAATGAGCTGGGTTTGGTGGTGCACACCTGTGGTCCCAGCTATTCAGGAGGCCGAGATGGGAGGATCACCTGAGCTTGGGAGGTGGAGATTGCAGTGAGCTGAGATTGCGCCACTGCACTGCAGCCTGGGTGACAGAATGAGACCCTACCTCAGAAAAAAAGGAAAAAAAAGAAAGAAAGAAAAAAAAAGACAGTTGATCAGTTTCAAAAGCCTGCCTGAGAAGTGAAGTTCTGCAGTTTTGCTTTCACTGTGGTCAATGTTGGCAGACCTTTGTGCCTGGATTTTTTCTGATGATGGCTACATCAACCTTCACCAAAGATTAGGGATGGAGTATTACTCTGAGAAACTAAAGACTCCCTCCTAATGCAATGGTGGCAAACACTGCCTACCTCTTACATCTCTGAACAGGGTGAGAAGTTAGTGTGAAAAGAATCAGAAGCAGGCCTAGCGAGAAAGTGCTGGCACCAATTACTGTACAAAGATGAGTCAGGCCAGGTGTGGTGGCTTGTGCCTTTAATCCCAGCTATTTGGGAGGCCAAGGAGGGAGGATCACTTAAGAACAGGAGTTTGAGACCAGCCTGGGCAACATAGAGACCTCGTCTCTAAAAAAAAAAAAAAAAAAAATTGTAATTAGCTGGGCATGGAGGCACATGACTGTGATCCCAGCTACTTGGGAGGCTGAGATGGGAGGATCACTTGAGTCCAGGAGGTCAAGGCTGCAGTGGGCTATGATTGTGCCACTGCACTCCAGCCTGAGTGACAGAGCGAGACCCTGTCTCTAAAAATAAAATCAAATGGAGCTAAAAAGACAAAAAACGATGAGTGAGACTGGCTCAGGCTCTGAAGATTCGTTGGGAGCAGAGTTGTCTGAGTGTCCAAGAGAATTTGTCACTTGTTGCTTTTTTTTTTTTTTTTTTTTTGAGATAGAGTCTTGCTCTGTCACCCAGGCTGGAGTGCAGTGGTGCAATTATGGCTCACTGCAACCTCTGCCTCCCGCGTTCAAGCGATTCTCATGTCTTAGCCTCCCAAGTAGCTGGGATTACAGGCATGCGCCACCACACCCGGCTGAATTTTGTATTTTTAGGAGAGATGGGGTTTCGCCATGTTGGCCAGGCTGATCTGGAACTCCTGACCTCAGGTGATCCACCTGCCTTGGCCTCCCAAAGTGCTGGGATCACAGGCGTGAGCTACCATGCCTGGTCACCTGCTGCTCTTGAGCCCTTGAAATGTGGCTGGTGGGACCAAGAAATGACTTTTTAATCTTATTTCATTCTAAAGTTTCTTCACTTTAAACTTTGTTAAAGGGAGAACTCTGGACATATTAAATTTCATGGCGTGTAATTGAGCAAAGAACAATTCATAAATCAGATAGCTGCCAGAGCAACTCCATCTTGAATAGGGGCTGAGTAAAAGAAGGCTGAGACCTACTGGGCTACATTCCCAGGCGATGAAGGCATTCTCAGTCACATGATGAGATAGGAGGTCAGCACTAAAGACCTTGCTGAAGGCCGGGCGCGGTGGCTCAAGCCTGTAATCCCAGCACTTTGGGAGGCCGAGGCGGGCGGATCACAAGGTCAGGAGATCGAGACCATCCTGGCTAACACCGTGAAACCCCGTCTCTACTAAAAAAATACAAAAAACTAGCCGGGCGTGGTGGTGGGCGCCTGTAGTCCCAGCTACTTGGGAGGCCGAGGCAGGAGAATGGCGTGAACCCGGGGGCGGAGCTTGCAGTGGAGCCGAGATCGCGCCACTGCGCTCCAGCCTGGGCGACAGAGCAAGACTCCGTCTCAAAAAAAAAAAAAAAAAGACCTTGCTGATAAAACAGGTTGCAGTAAAGAAGCCGGCTAAAACCCACCAAAACCAAGACGGTGATGGGAGTGACCTCTGGTGGTCCTCACTGCTACACTCCCACCAGCACCGTGACAGTTTACAAAGATCATGGCAACATCAGGAAGTTACCATATATGGCAGTCTAAACAGGGAAGGCATGGGCCAGGCGCGGTGGCTGACGCCTGTCATCCCAGCACTTTGGGAGGCTGAGGTGGGCGGATCATGAGGTCAGAAGATCAAGACCATCCTGGCTAACATGGTGAAACCCCATCTATACTAAAAATACAAAAAATTAGCCGGGCGTGGTGGCGGGCACCTGTAGTCCCAGCTACTCGGGAGGCTGAGGCAGGAGAATGGCGTGAACCCAGGAGGCAGAGCTTGCAGTGAGCCGAGATCACGCCACTGTACTGCAGCCCGAGCAACAGAGAGAGACTCCGTCTCAAAAAATAAAAACAAAAATAAATAAATAAAAAGGGAAGGTATGAATAATCCACCTCTTGTTTACCTTATCATCAAGAAATAACCATAAAAATGAGAAACCTGGCCAGGCGCAGTGGCTCAAGCCTGTAATTCCAGCACTTTGGGAGGCCGAGGCGGGTGGATCACCTGAGGTCGGGAGTTCAAGACCAGCCTGACCAACATGGAGAAACCCCATCTCTACTAAAAATACAAAATTATCCGGGCATGGTGGTGCATGCCTGTAATCCCAGCTATTCAGGAGGCTGAGGCAGGAGAATCGCTTGAACCCGGGAGGCAGAGGTTGTGGTGAGCCGAGATCCTACCATTGTACTCCAGCTTGGGCAACAAGAGTGAAAGTCCATCTCAAAAACAACAACAACAACAAAAAAAGCCCAGCAGCCCTTGGGGCTGCTCTATGAAGTAGCCGTTCCATTATTCCTTTACTTTCCTAATAAACTGTCTTTCACTTTACTGTATGGACTTGCCTGCTTTAATTTTTTCTTGGGTGAGATCCAAGAACCCTCTCAGGGTCTGGATCAAGACCCCTTTGCGGTAACAGTACAAAGGCTCTGACTGTCAAAAGTGGTAGGGTCACTGGAACTCCATTTCAGATCCCATCTGGATCATCAAAAGGTCAACCCTAAATAAATAAATTCAGGAAATATGGTTAAATGTCGAGTTTAGTTTAGCCCAAAGTTTGAGGACGACCACCCTGAAACACGGATTCCAAAGAATGGAAATCAGCACTCCAAAGTGAGGAAGTTTGGGAGTCATTTATACAGGTAAAGTTTGGGAAGCTTGACAGAGTTTCCACATATTTCACACAACGCGAGTACATAGTTAACAGTAATCTGATTAGTCAAGGCAGTAGTCTTTTTGGGAAGGGTATATTTAACATTCACATAGAGGACGTAACAGTCACGGGGTCTTTTGCACTATCTGGTCTGATTTAGGTGCAAGATTATAATAGAAGAAAGGTCAGCAGTCTAAAAGGGAGATCTTAATGCTGATGCCATTTAGTCTTTTTAAATCAATTTACAGAGCAAGAACAGGTGAGTTAATCTATAATCTATAAGCAGAAATTGTAGTTACA